ACAGAGAATCACATGGTACAGAGAATCACATGGTATCACATGGTACAGAGAATCACATGGTACAGAGAATCAGGGAAAAAAATATTTAAAAATAAGAAACAGAAATAGCAGAAATGTTACATGATTGTATAAACAGCGGAATTATACTTCTCCCAATCACCTAGACTGTAAACAGACGGACAATGCTAACATGCTAACAGAGGGACAATGCTAACATGCTAACAGAGGGACAATGCTAACAGACGGACAATGCTAACAGGCTAACAGAGGGACAATGCTAACATGCTAACAGACGGACAATGCTAACAGGCTAACAGAGGGACAATGCTAACAGGCTAACAGACGGACAATGCTAACATGCTAACAGAGGGACAATGCTAACAGACGGACAATGCTAACATGCTAACAGACGGACAATGCTAACAGGCTAACAGACGGACAATGCTAACAGGCTAACAGACGGACAATGCTAACATGCTAACAGAGGGACAATGCTAACAGACGGACAATGCTAACATGCTAACAGACGGACAATGCTAACATGCTAACAGAGGGACAATGCTAACAGGCTAACAGACGGACAATGCTAACATGCTAACAGAGGGACAATGCTAACATGCTAACAGAGGGACAATGCTAACAGACGGACAATGCTAACATGCTAACAGACGGACAATGCTAACATGCTAACAGAGGGACAATGCTAACAGGCTAACAGACGGACAATGCTAACATGCTAACAGACGGACAATGCTAACATGCTAACAGACGGACAATGCTAACATGCTAACAGAGGGACAATGCTAACAGGCTAACAGACGGACAATGCTAACATGCTAACAGAGGGACAATGCTAACAGGCTAACAGACGGACAATGCTAACATGCTAACAGAGGGACAATGCTAACAGACGGACAATGCTAACATGCTAACAGACGGACAATGCTAACATGCTAACAGAGGGACAATGCTAACAAGCTAACAGACTATCAGAGGGACAATGCTAACAGGCTAACAGAGGGACAATGCTAACAGGCTAACAGAGGGACAATGCTAACAGGCTAACAGAGGGACAATGCTAACATGCTAACAGACGGACAATGCTAACAGGCTAACAGAGGGACAATGCTAACAGGCTAACAGAGGGACAATGCTAACAGGCTAACAGAGGGACAATGCTAACAGGCTAACAGAGGGACAATGCTAACATGCTAACAGACGGACAATGCTAACAGGCTATCAGAGGGACAATGCTAACATGCTAACAGACGGACAATGCTAACAGGCTATCAGAGGGACAATGCTAACAGGCTATCAGAGGGACAATGCTAACAGGCTAACAGAGGGACAATGCTAACAGGCTATCAGAGGGACAATGCTATGCTTCTAGCTCAGTGAAGCCCAGTGGGGAAGTGCTCATGGACAAAGTTTTGCTCCAACTCTCTGAGGTTACTGAGTTAGAGGAGAACATGCAAGTTAACAGGAGCCAGAGAGAGTTGGAGCAAAAGTCATGTAGCTATTGGGTTAGCATTGTCCATTTGTATGCAGTCTGGTGTGTGTGTGTGTGTGTTTCTGTGTGTGTGTGTGTCTGTGTTGTGTGTCTCCTCATGACTCGAAACAGACAGAGTAGAGGTGACTGTGTGTGTGTTTCTGTGTGTGTGTGTGTCTCTGTGTTTCTGTGTGTGTCCGTGTGAGTGTGTGTTTGTGTGTGCGTGTCAGTGTCTATACTGTGTGTGTCTGTGTTGTGTGTGTTTCTGTCTTGTATGTCTGTGTGTCTCTGTTGTGTGTGTGTGTGTTGTGTGTGTGCGTGTGTATTGTGTGTCTCCTCATGACTCCAGATAGACAGAGTAGAGGTGACTGTGTGTGTGTGTGTGTGTCTGTGTTGTGTGTGTGTGTGTCTGTGTTGTGTGTGTGTGTGTGTTGTGTGTTGTGTGTTGTGTGTGTGTGTGTGTGTGTGTGTGTAATGTATTGTGTGTCTCCTCATGACTCCAGATAGACAGAGTAGAGGTGACTGTGTGTGTGTGTGTGTGTCTGTGTTGTGTGTGTGTGTGTGTTGTGTGTTGTGTGTTGTGTGTGTGTGTGTGTGTGTAATGTATTGTGTGTCTCCTCATGACTCCAGATAGACAGAGTACAGGTGACTGTGTGCGGGTGTGTGTGTTGTGTGTTGTGTGTGTGTGTGTGTGTGTCTGTGTTGTGTGTGTCTGTGTGTTGTGTGTTGTGCGTGTTGTGTGTGTCTGTGTGTTGTGCGTGTTGTGTGTGTGTGTGTGTACTGTATTGTGTGTCTCCTCATGACTCCAGATAGACAGAGTAGAGGTGACTGTGTGTGTGTGTGTGTGTGTGTTGTGTGTGTGTGTGTGTGTGTGTGTGTGTGTGTCTGTGTGTTGTGCGTGTTGTGTGTGTGTGTGTGTACTGTATTGTGTGTCTCCTCATGACTCCAGATAGACAGAGTAGAGGTGACTGTGTGTGTGTGTGTGTTGTGTGTGTGTGTGTTGTGTGTGTCTGTGTGTTGTGTGTTGTGCGTGTTGTGTGTGTGTGTGTGTACTGTATTGTGTGTCTCCTCATGACTCCAGATAGACAGAGTAGAGGTGACTGTGTGTGTGTGTGTGTGTGTGTGTTGTGTGTGTGTGTGTTGTGTGTGTGTGTGTGTGTGTGTGTGTGTTGTGCGTGTTGTGTGTGTGTGTGTGTACTGTATTGTGTGTCTCCTCATGACTCCAGATAGACAGAGTAGAGGTGACTGTGTGTGTGTGTGTGTGTGTGTGTGTGTGTGTGTGTGTGTGTGTGTGTGTGTGTCTGTGTGTTGTGCGTGTTGTGTGTGTGTGTGTGTGTGTTGTGTGTGTCTGTGTGTTGTGCGTGTTGTGTGTGTGTGTGTGTGTGTGTACTGTATTGTGTGTCTCCTCATGACTCCAGATAGACAGAGTAGAGGTGACTGTGTGTGTGTGTGTGTGTGTGTGTTGTGTGTGTGTGTGTTGTGTGTTGTGCGTGTTGTGTGTGTGTGTGTGTACTGTATTGTGTGTCTCCTCATGACTCCAGATAGACAGAGTAGAGGTGACTGTGTGTGTGTGTGTGTGTGTGTTGTGTGTGTGTGTGTTGTGTGTGTCTGTGTGTTGTGTGTTGTGCGCGTGTGTGTGTGTGTGTGTGTGTACTGTATTGTGTGTCTCCTCATGACTCCAGATAGACAGAGTAGAGGTGACTGTGTGTGTGTGTGTGTGTGTGTGTGTGTGTGTGTGTGTGTGTGTGTGTGTTGTGCGTGTTGTGTGTGTGTGTGTGTACTGTATTGTGTGTCTCCTCATGACTCCAGATAGACAGAGTAGAGGTGACTGTGTGTGTGTGTGTGTGTGTGTGTGTGTGTGTGTGTGTGTTGTGTGTGTCTGTGTGTTGTGCGTGTTGTGTGTGTGTGTGTGTGTGTACTGTATTGTGTGTCTCCTCATGACTCCAGATAGACAGAGTAGAGGTGACTGTGTGTGTGTGTGTGTGTTGTGTGTGTGTGTGTTGTGTGTGTCTGTGTGTTGTGTGTTGTGCGTGTTGTGTGTGTGTGTGTGTACTGTATTGTGTGTCTCCTCATGACTCCAGATAGACAGAGTAGAGGTGACTGTGTGTGTGTGTGTGTGTGTGTGTGTGTTGTGTGTGTCTGTGTGTTGTGCGTGTTGTGTGTGTGTGTGTGTGTGTACTGTATTGTGTGTCTCCTCATGACTCCAGATAGACAGAGTAGAGGTGACTGTGTGTGTGTGTGTGTTGTGTGTGTGTGTGTTGTGTGTGTCTGTGTGTTGTGTGTTGTGCGTGTTGTGTGTGTGTGTGTGTACTGTATTGTGTGTCTCCTCATGACTCCAGATAGACAGAGTAGAGGTGACTGAGGCTCTGAAACAGCAGCTGCTCCTCTGGGCTGAAGCCTCCTCCTGCTGGACCGCGCAGGTCCTGCACCGGCTCCACGGCTGAACACAGAAAACATTTACAATAAGTTTAAATAATAATAATAATAATGATAATAATAATAATAATAATAATAATAATAATAATAATAATAATAATAATAATGATAATAATAATACTAATGATAATAATAATAATAATAATAATAATAATTATTATTATTATAATAATGATAATAATAATAATAATACAAATATTAATGATAATAATAATAAAAATAATAATAATGATAATAATAATAATAATGATAATAATGATAATAATAATAATAATAATAATGATAATAATAATAATAATAATATTAATGATAATAATAATAAAAATAATAATAATGATAATAATAATAATAATGATAATAATGATAATAATAACAATAATAAAATAATAATAATAATAATAATAATAATAATAATGATAATGAATCAGTTTTATACAGAGCTTTATGAGACTGTGACAGACGAAAATAACACATGATGCAGGGACTGCAGATGGAAACTAGCTGTTTAGCAAAATGTGGTGCAGAATATATCTGTACACTGTCCCTTTAAATAAAGACTAAACTAAACTAATGTGAGAGACCAGAGAGAGACCAGAGAGAGACCAGAAAGAGACCAGAGAGAGAGAGACCAGAAGAGAGACCAGAGAGAGACCAGAGAGAGAGACCAGAAAGAGTGCAGAGAGAGACCAGAGAGAGAGACCAGAGAGAGAGGGAGAGAGAGAGAGACCAGAGAGAGACCAGAAAGAGAGCAGAGAGAGACCAGAGAGAGAGACCAGAAAGAAAGCAGAGAGAGACCAGAGAGAGAGGGAGAGAGAGAGAGACCAGAGAGAGACCAGAGAGAGAGGGAGAGAGAGAGAGACCAGAAGGAGACCAGAGAGAGAGACCAGAGAGAAAGGGAGAGAGACCAGAGAGAGACCAGAGGAAGAGAGAGAGAGAGAGAGAGACCATGGATAAAACCAGTGATAGAAGCTAAATGTTTACCATAAATAGTAGATTACTCATCGCACATGTACATGTTTGTGTTTTGAAAGTTAGGTACCGCAGCTTTAAACAGACAGTTCTCAGTGTGATTGGACTAAAGTCTGTGGTACCAGGTGAGTGAGGAGCACAGGGCTCTGTGGTACCTGTGGTACCAGGTGAGTGAGGAGCACAGGGCTCTGTGGTACCAGGTAAGTGAGGAGCGCAGGGCTCTGTGGTACCTGTGGTACCAGGTGAGTGAGGAGCACAGGGCTCTGTGGTACCAGGTGAGTGAGGAGCGCAGGGCTCTGTGGTACCTGTGGTACCAGGTGAGTGAGGAGCACAGGGCTCTGTGGTACCAGGTGAGTGAGGAGCACAGGGCTCTGTGGTACCTGTGGTACCAGGTGAGTGAGGAGCACAGGGCTCTGTGGTACCAGGTGAGTGAGGAGCGCAGGGCTCTGTGGTACCTGTGGTACCAGGTGAGTGAGGAGCAAAAAGCTCTGTGGTACCAGGTGAGTGAGGAGCACAGGGCTCTGTGGTACCAGGTGAGTGAGGAGCACAGGGCTCTGTGGTACCAGGTGAGTGAGGAGCACAGGGCTCTGTGGTACCAGGTGAGTGAGGAGCACAGAGCTCTGTGGTACCAGGTGAGTGAGGAGCGCAGGGCTCTGTGGTACCTGTGGTACCAGGTGAGTGAGGAGCACAGGGCTTTGAGAAGAATCCACTCTGGTCACATGGTCCATCGTCCAACGGCACCATCTTCCCCTCGGCATAAATACAATCTGAAAACACAGGGGTATATTAAAACTCTACTCTACTCTACTCTACTCTGATCTACTCTACTCTACTCTACTCTACTCTACTCTACTCTACTCTACTCTACTCTGATCTACTCTACTCTACTCTACTCTACTCTACTCTGATCTACTCTACTCTACTCTGATCTACTCTACTCTACTCTACTCTACTCTACTCTACTCTACTCTGATCTACTCTACTCTACTCTACTCTACTCTACTCTGATCTACTCTACTCTACTCTACTCTGATCTACTCTACTCTACTCTACTCTACTCTGATCTACTCTACTCTACTCTGATCTACTCTACTCTACTCTACTCTACTCTGATCTACTCTACTCTACTCTACTCTACTCTACTCTGATCTACTCTACTCTACTCTACTCTACTCTGATCTACTTTGATCTACTCTGATCTACTCTACTCTGATCTACTCTACTCTACTCTGATCTACTTTGATCTACTCTGATCTACTCTACTCTACTCTACTCCGATCTACTCTACTCTACTCTACTCTGATCTACTCTACTCTACTCTACTCTACTCTGATCTACTCTACTCTACTCTACTCTACTCTACTCTACTCTACTCTACTCTACTCTACTCTGATCTACTCTACTCTACTCTACTCTACTCTACTCTGATCTACTCTACTCTGATCTACTCTACTCTACTCTACTCTTCTCTACTCTCACTCTGATCTACTCTGATCTACTCTACTCTACTCTACTCTACTCTGATCTACTCTACTCTACTCTACTCTACTCTGATCTACTCTACTCTACTCTACTCTACTCTACTCTGATCTACTCTACTCTACTCTACTCTACTCTACTCTACTCTACTCTACTCTACTCTGATCTACTCTACTCTACTCTACTCTACTCTACTCTACTCTACTCTGATCTACTCTACTCTACTCTACTCTACTCTACTCTACTCTACTCTACTCTACTCTGATCTACTCTACTCTACTCTGATCTACTCTACTCTACTCTACTCTACTCTACTCTGATCTACTCTACTCTACTCTACTCTACTCTACTCTACTCTGATCTACTCTACTCTACTCTACTCTACTCTGATCTACTTTGATCTACTCTTATCTACTCTACTCTGATCTACTCTACTCTACTCTGATCTACTTTGATCTACTCTGATCTACTCTACTCTACTCTACTCCGATCTACTCTACTCTACTCTACTCTACTCTGATCTACTCTACTCTACTCTACTCTACTCTGATCTACTCTACTCTACTCTACTCTGATCTACTCTACTCTACTCTGATCTACTCTACTCTACTCTACTCTACTCTACTCTGATCTACCCTACCCTACTCTACTCTACTCTACTCTACTCTACTCTACTCTGATCTACTCTACTCTACTCTACTCTGATCTACTCTACTCTACTCTACTCTACTCTACTCTACTCTACTCTGATCTACTCTACTCTGATCTACTCTACTCTACTCTACTCTGATCTACTCTACTCTACTCTACTCTACTCTCTACTGCTTTGTTACTCTGGTTTGTAAAAGGCGGCATGTAAATAAAAATTACTGACTTACTTACTTACTTGAGAGAGAGAGAGAGAGAGAGAGAGAGAGAGACAGAGGGAGGTTCGGAGGTCTGACAGGAATAATCACAAACTTAGATGAGATAAGATGAATTACTACTTTTTAACCTGTGAAAAAGACTAAATATTGAAACCCTAAAAGGACAGAGAGAAGATCCAATCTGTTCTGAGCCCAAAGCGTCAAAGAGTGACTCCCAGGGCTCCTCCCACCGAGTCAACACCTGGAAATGACAACAAGCCTCTGCAGTTCAGACTCTGTCCAATAGAGAGCAGCAGTGTTACACAGTTGCACACATGGAACAGACTCGTTTTGTCTTTAGCATTGACCAGTGAGAAAGATCCCTGTGAGTCACTGTTTGACTTTTTGGGCTGAGACCTGATTGGCTGAGGGAGGGGGGTCCTCTCTGCTCACTTTTTTGTCTGAAAAATCTGATAAGATTACATGATGTGAGAGACCAGAGAGAGTCCAGAGCAAGAACAGAAAGAGAACAGAGAGAGACCAGAGAGACCAGAGAGAGACCAGAGAGAGACCAGAAAGAGACCAGAGAGACCAGAGAGAGACCAGAGAGAGACCAGAGAGACCAGAGAGAGACCAGAGAGAGACCAGAGAGAGACCAGAGAGACCAGAGAGAGACCTGAGAGAGACCAGTGAGACCAGAGAGAGACCAGAGAGAGACCAGAGAGAGAGACCAGAGAGAGACCAGAGAGACCAGAGAGACCAGAGAGAGACCAGAGAGAGACCAGAGAGAGACCAGAGAGACCAGAGAGAGACCTGAGAGAGACCAGTGAGACCAGAGAGAGACCTGAGAGAGACCAGAGAGAGACCAGAGAGAGACCAGAGAGAGACCAGAGAGAGACCAGAGAGAGACCAGAGAGAGACCAGAGAGAGACCAGAGAGAGACCAGAGAGAGACCAGAGAGGGACCAGAGAGAGACCAGAGAGAGACCAGAGAGAGAGACCAGAGAGAGACCAGAGAGAGACCAGAGAGACCTGAGAGAGACCAGAGAGAGACCAGAGAGAGACCAGAGAGACCTGAGAGAGACCAGAGAGAGACCAGAGAGACCAGAGAGAGACCAGAGAGACCAGAGAGAGACCTAAGAGAGACCAGTGAGACCAGAGAGAGACCTGAGAGAGACCAGAGAGAGACCAGAGAGAGACCAGGATTATATCAATGAAGTGGCTCTTATTGACCATGTAACAGTGAACTCCTCAGTAAATCTATGTTTCTCTGTCATCCTGTGTTTATATGTGATGTGTCTTTGTAAATACAGAAACGTACCTGTGTGCGGTGACATCACTGGGGGAAGGCCAGGTCTGTGGTCTGAGGAGACTGGATTCTGACCAAGTCCAAACCCTGGACCAGCTCTGCTCCTGGTCACAACAAAAAAAACACGACATGTTTAGTATGATCTGTGTTGACCAGAGAGAGACCAGAGAGACCAGAGAGAGACCAGAGAGAGACCAGAGAGAGACCAGAGAGAGACCAGAGAGAGACCAGAAAGAGACCAGAAAGAGACCAGAGAGAGACCAGAGAGAGACCAGAGAGAGACCAGAGAGAGACCAGAGAGAGACCAGAGAGAGACCAGAGAGAGACCAGAGAGAGACCAGAGAGAGACCAGAGAGAGACCAGAGAGAGACAAGAGAGAGACCAGAGAGAGACCAGAGAGAGAGAGATAAATGGATAAATGTGTTTGTGAAAGTTGTTGCTCAGAAACGTCGTCTGTAAATGGGAGATTCAGGATTTGTTCAGAGCAGCAGCTGTGTTTTCAGAATCAACAAAGACAAAACTAAAGGAGTTTATGGAGCGCTCTGTTTTCTGGAATTGGACCATGGGGGGAAGGACCATGGGGGGGGGGGGGCAATGCAAAAACTATAAAACTAAAATGATATTACTATAACATACTTTCAGCCTAAATGTTAATTAATGACCTGGATCAACACTGTCCTTATAGACCCAGGACTGAGGCTGTAGACCCAGGACTGAGGCTGTAGATCCAGGACTGAGGCTGTAGACCCAGGGCTGAGGCTGTAGATCCAGGGCTGAGGCTGTAGATCCAGGACTGAGGCTGTAGACCCAGGACTGAGGCTGTAGACCCAGGGCTGAGGCTGTAGACCCAGGACTGAGGCTGTAGACCCAGGGCTGAGGCTGTAGACCCAGGACTGAGGCTGTAGACCCAGGACTGAGGCTGTAGACCCAGGACTGAGGCTGTAGACCCAGGACTGAGGCTGTAGACCCAGGACTGAGGCTGTAGACCCAGGACTGAAGACCCAGGTTTGTAGCAAACCGATGTATAATTATCATTATTATACCTGTATGTATCCTCTGGGCTCTCTGAGGAGGCTCTACTGCTGAAGAGGCTCTGCTGAGGAGGCTCCGGTCTTTTGGAGTGCAGGGGCCACTCCTGAAGACCTTCTATGACTCTGTGGTGGCATCAGCCTCTTGTACGGTGTGGTCTGCTGGAGCAGCAGCATCACAGAGAGGGAAGTAGCTGGAAGATCAGGAAGTCCAGCTCAGTCCTGGGCTGTTCCTTGGACACAGTGCAGCAGGTGGGGGACAGGAGGGTCCTGAGCAAACTAACATCTATGCTGGACCATGACTGTCGCCCCCTGCAGGACACTCTCTCTGCTCTGGAGAGCAGCTTCAGTGACAGACTAATTCACCCTTGCTGTGTGAAGGAGAGGTTCCGTAGGTCTTTCCTTCCTGCTGCTGTCAGACTGTACAACAAGAACTGCTGAGCCTGTGAATTTCATTGATCTGTAAATAAGTAACTCCTGCTCTATACAGTATGTACAGTATATAACTCCGCCCTAAATATATGTATGTAGTTTTTGAAAGCATATACAGCTAAGAAACACAGCTACTCCTTATTTTGTACATGTTGTGTGCTCCCTGTGTCTCTCACTACTGTCCTGTCAGTGCGCTGCAACACTGAAATTTCCCCACTGCGGGACACATAAACGACCTTATTTCGTCTAAAGTCTGTGGATGTTCGATGGTTATTTTTAGAGTGTGTTTGGAGGTGGGCTCTGCGGGGGGCGAGTGTCGGGGGTCTCTGCTGCTCAGGAATGTGCTGACGGAGCTGAGGAGATCTGCAGCTGCTCACGGATCCATGGTTACAACCCAGTTACTAATGTCCGGACCTGACCAGGAAGACTCAAGACCCCTGGAGGAAGAGAGAGAGAGACTAGAGTGATACCAGAGACAGAGAGACCAAAGAGAGAGACCAGAGAGAGAGACCAGAGACAGAGAGACCAGAGACAGAGAGACCAAAGAGAGAGAGAGACCAGAGAGAGAGACCAGAGAGAGAGACCAGAGACAGAGAGACCAAAGAGAGAGACCAGAGACAGAGAGACCAGAGACAGAGAGACCAAAGAGAGAGAGAGACCAGAGAGAGAGACCAGAGAGAGAGACCAGAGACAGAGAGACCAAAGAGAGAGACCAGAGACAGAGAGACCAGAGACAGAGAGACCAAAGAGAGAGAGAGAGACCAGAGAGAGAGACCAGAGAGAGAGACCAGAGACAGAGAGACCAAAGAGAGAGACCAGAGACAGAGAGACCAAAGAGAGAGACCAAAGACAGAGGGATCAGAGAGAGACCAAAGAGAGAGAGACCAGAGGGAAAGAGAACTGACGGTATAGCACTTGAGAAATGTCATCATGGTACAATGACATCATACTTTTAGACCGTACACAGATGTACAATGCTAACGGCTAGCTCAACTGTGTTAAGTTCTGTCGACAAATCCACCGCTGAAGAATGTGCTGCTTTTCTACCATGACTCAAAAAAACCACAAAAAATGTGAAAAAACAATTTTTTCCCCTCAAAAAGTATTTCACCCCTGTCCACCTCTGCGCCTCAGAGACAACAGAGTGAGAGTCTGTGAGACAGAGTGAGAGGTCTGTGTGACAGAGTGAGAGTCTGTGAGACAGAGTGAGAGTCTGTGAGACAGAGTGAGAGGTCTGTGAGACAGAGTGAGAGTCTGTGAGACAGAGTGAGAGGTCTGTGAGACAGAGTGAGAGTCTGTGAGACAGAGTGAGAGGTCTGTGAGACAGAGTGAGAGTCTGTGAGACAGAGTGAGAGTCTGTGAGACAGAGTGAGAAGTCTGTGAGACAGAGTGAGAGTCTGTGAGACAGAGTGAGAAGTCTGTGAGACAGAGTGCGAGTCTGTGAGACAGAGTGAGAGGTCTGTGTGACAGAGTGAGAGTCTGTGAGACAGAGTGAGAGTCTGTGAGACAGAGTGAGAGGTCTGTGAGACAGAGTGAGAGTCTGTGAGACAGAGTGAGAAGTCTGTGAGACAGAGTGAGAGTCTGTGAGACAGAGTGAGAAGTCTGTGAGACAGAGTGCGAGTCTGTGAGACAGAGTGAGAGTCTGTGAGACAGAGTGAGAGTCTGTGTGACAGAGTGAGAGTCTGTGAGACAGAGTGAGAGTCTGTGAGACAGAGTGAGAGGTCTGTGAGACAGAGTGAGAGGTCTGTGAGACAGAGTGAGAGGTCTGTGTGACAGAGTGAGAGTCTGTGAGACAGAGTGAGAGTCTGTGAGACAGAGTGAGAGGTCTGTGAGACAGAGTGAGAGGTCTGTGAGACAGAGTGAGAGGTCTGTGAGACAGAGTGAGAGGTCTGTGAGACAGAGTGAGAGGTCTGTGAGACAGAGTGAGAGTCTGTGAGACAGAGTGAGAGTCTGTGAGACAGTGAGTGAGAGTCTGTGAGACAGAGGTGAGAGTCTGTGAGACAGAGTGAGAGTCTGAGACAGAGTGAGAGTCTGAGACAGAGTGAGAGTCTGAGACAGAGTGAGAGGTCTGTGAGACAGAGTGAGAGGTCTGTGAGACAGAGTGAGAGGTCTGTGAGACAGAGTGAGAGTCTGTGAACAGAGTGAGAGTCTGTGAGACAGAGTGAGAGTCTGTGAGACAGAGTGAGAGGTCTGTGAGACAGAGTGAGACTCTGTGAGACAGAGTGAGAGTCTGTGAGACAGAGTGAGAGTCTGTGAGACAGAGTGAGAGTCTGTGAGACAGAGTGAGAGGTCTGTGTGACAGAGTGAGAGTCTGAGACAGAGTGAGAGTCTGTGAGACAGAGTGAGAGTCTGTGAGACAGAGTGAGAGTCTGTGAGACAGAGTGAGAGTCTGTGAGACAGAGTGAGAGTCTGTGAGACAGAGTGAGAGTCTGTGAGACAGAGTGAGAGGTCTGTGAGACAGAGTGAGAGTCTGTGAGACAGAGTGAGAGGTCTGTGAGACAGAGTGAGAGTCTGTGAGACAGAGTGAGAGTCTGTGAGACAGAGTGAGAGTCTGTGAGACAGAGTGAGAGGTCTGTGAGACAGAGTGAGAGTCTGAGACAGAGTGAGAGTCTGTGAGACAGAGTGAGAGTCTGTGAGACAGAGTGAGAGTCTGTGAGACAGAGTGAGAGTCTGTGAGACAGAGTGAGAGTCTGTGAGACAGAGTGAGAGTCTGTGAGACAGAGTGAGAGTCTGTGAGACAGAGTGAGAGTCTGTGAGACAGAGTGAGAGGTCTGTGTG